AATAATTCTCTGACATAAAATTCAATTAATAATTCTTCACCACCAAATCTATTTTTTAAGCATTCAATAACCTTATCATAATTGTCAGCAGTGGCGGGGAAACTCTCCACGATTTCTCTAGCTCTGGAACCAACTACGGTTGCTTGATATAAATAATGGAATTTATCTTCTTTTTCCATTTCTAGGTCATCGTGGATACGCTTAAACTGATTCCAGAATGTAAGCCAATCCTTAATGTCACCTCCGAATTGTTTCAATTCAATCTTGGGTAACTTTAATTTTCGTCTGCTTAGCTTTGGCGACGAACTAAAGGAAGCCAAGGAAGGTTCAACTTTCTTATTGAAATGGTCTGCAATTTCTACACGAGCGAGATCCATTTTTTCATTATACTCTTCGGTACTTGTATGTTCTATTTCAAATTCTTCATCACTATCAAACTTTTTTTCTAGTACTCTTGAGTCGAATTCATTTAATATTCCATACAGTCGTTCTAACGTGGCACTTTTAGTTTTTAATACTTTATCATCTGGTAACTCTTTATTTAATTCTTCAAATAAAGTATTAAACGTTTTGGTAAAGGAAGCTCTAGTAGCTCCGCGTTTTCTTAATATTGCATCCATTCTTAACTATGATATCAAGTTTAACCTTTAATTTTGATCAATGAAATAAATCGCATAACAAATGTATTTACAGTAACTAACCTGTTACTATTGCCTCTTATCACGATCCGGGTCACCACAATGTTGAGTACGGCAAGAAATATACCCTATTTCTTCCACTCCTATATTTTATTAAACAAAAAATTCTTAAAGGAAAATACAAAATTGCAACATATTTCTAAAACATAAACTCGAATTCCATTGTATAAGTCAAAAGTTATTGGAGACAAATAAAAACGCTTTTACCTAACTCTCCATTATACAAAATCTTTCCAATTCTTATTTCAAAACGTAACAACACGGTTCCCAGCAGATCACCGAAGTCAAGCATCACTGGCTGCGGTCAGTGTGGGGGTGGGTGACCACTTGGATCAGTCTGCGTAGGGACCGAGGGTGTGCGGTATTGGTCCTCGTTAAACTGTGCTACCGTAAAGTGCTCGAATTCGCGCGCAGGTCGTTGGGCTACCGAAGCGGGGTGCCATCCCCTCCGCAGAGGATCAAAATTGTGATGGCATGTCTTCGGATCATCCTCCGGGATGTTTCCCAGACCGTCGCCAATAGCCCATTGTGTTGCTCTAGTGCGACGTA